CATCATCATCACCACCATCATCATCATCATCATCACCATCACATCATCCCCATCATCACCAACATCATCACCATCACCATCATCATCATCATCATCACCATCAACATCATCATCACCACCATCATCATCATCATCATCATCACCATCATCATCATCATCATCATCATCATCACCATCATCATCACCATCATCACCAACATCATCACCACCACCATCATCATCATCATCATCACCATCACCATCATCATCATCACCATCATCATCACCATCATCGTCATCACCATCATCATCATCACCATCACCATCATCATCACCACCACCATCATCATCATCATCATCATCATCACATCATCACCATCATCACCATCATCACCATCATCACCACCATGATCATCACATCATCACCACCATCATCATCACCATCATCATCATCATAACCATCATCATCATCATCATCATCATCATCATCATCACCATCATCATCATCATAACCATCATCATCATCACCATCATCATCGTCACCATCACCATCACCATCATCATCACCATCATCATCATCATCACCATCATCATCACCATCATCACCATCATCATCATCATCACCATTACCATCATCATCACCATCATCATCATCATCACCATCATCACCACCATGATCATCATCATCATCATCACCATCATCATCATCACCATCATCATCATCACCATCATCATCGTCACCATCATCATCGTCACCATCACCATCATCACCATCATCATCATCATCACCATCACCATCACCATCATCATAACCATCATCACCACCATGGTCATCATCACTACCATCATCATCATTACCACCATCACATCATCATCATCATCATCATTACCACCATCATCATCATTATGACCATCATATCATCATCATCATCATCACCATCTCATCATCATCATCACCATCACCATCATCATCACACCCAAGGACAACGCATTTACAATGTAGACCATGCCCGCTTGGCCCTTCCTCCTTGGAATGTCTTTATTGTAGCTGCGATTTCCAGGGAAATCCTCCTCGCTAAGTCCTCCGTTTCCTCATCCGTACTGTGGGCACAACGAAGTCTTTCTTTTCTTTTCTTTTTTTGGTTTAGGAGGATCATAACGTTTAGTTGAGATAGTTATTATGAGCTGTCCAGGTCCTACAGGTGCAGGAGGTCTGGCGCGTGGTACTTTGTAAGCAGTAAGAACCCACACTAACATCTTCTCACCCCTCAAATATGCCCTGTCTGTGACAGCAACCTGATGTTGGCAATCCATTGTCAACAGGGCTTTCTATTTCTCTCTTTTTTTACTTTTTGCCAGTCCTGGGGCTTGAACTCAGAGCCTGGGCGCTGTCCCTGCACATCTTTGAGCTCAAGGCCTGCGCTCTACCACTTGAGCCACAGCTCCATTTCCAGTTTTCTGGTGGTTCATTGGAGATCAGAGTCTCCTAGACTTTCCTGCTCAGGCTGGCTTCGAACCGTGATCCTCAGATCTCAGCCTCCTGAGTCTCTGGGATGACAGGCGTGAGCCAGAGGGGCTGATTTTTGAGGTTGAAATGGGTTCATTCACCTCCTGACTCGGGGGCCCAGCTCTGCCCCCCCCCCAGTCCCTCTGGTGTCCCTGCGGCCTTACCTTGTACACGAACCCCTCTGGGCAGCTGTGGTCGTAGGTGAAGGCTTTGTAAACCACCAGGAACACGATGCAGGCGAGGAAAGCGAGGGCCAGGCTGACGAGAATGGTGACCTGGAAGGGGAAGAGAGTGGGGAGTTAGGCAGGGGGGTCGGGGGGACCCCAGCTCCAGCCCTGAACCCCGAGGAGGAGGAGGATGAAGGCACAGACACCCGAGGCCAGCTTCCAGCGTGACCCTGAACGAAGCCCTTGCGCCCGCCCGGGCCTCGGTTTCCCCATCTGTAGGATAATCTGGGGGGGGGGAGAGCTGATGAGTGTGTGTGCCGGTCCCGGGGCTCGAACTCGGGGCCTGGGCGCTGACGCTGAGCTGCTGTCACCTGAGCCACATGATTAATTCAAGCATTGTTAACGGATCGATCCAGTCGGTGACTTTTTGGTGGCTCACTGGAGGGCAGAGTCTCACGGCCTCTCCTGCCCGGGCTGGCCTCGAACCCTGGTCCTCGGATCTCAGCCTCCTGAGCCGCTGGGCCCAGCAGAGACGCGAGTGCACGCCAGCACGCATGCGCAGGTATGTATGTGCGCATGCGCCTGCGTGGCTGTGGTTGGGTTCGTATGTGCGCATGCGCCTGCGTGGCTATGCTTGGGTTTGTATGTGCGCATGCGCCTGCGTGGCTATGCTTGGGTTTGTATGTGCGCATGGGCCTGCGTGGCTATGCTTGGGTAATTATGTGCGCATGCGCCTGCGTGGCTATGCTTGGGTATGTATGTGCGCATGCGCCTGCGTGGCTATGCTTGGGTATGTATGTGCGCATGCGCCTGCGTAGCTATGCTTGGGTATGTATGTGCGTGGCTATGCTTGGGTTTGTATGTGCGCATGCGCCTGCGTGGCTATGCTTGGGTTTGTATGTGCGCATGCGCCTGCGTGGCTATGCTTGGGTAATTATGTGCGCATGCGCCTGCGTGGCTATGCTTGGGTGTATGTGCGCATGCGCCTGCGTGACTGTGCTTGGGTGTGTATGTGCGCATGCGCCTGCGTGGCTGTGCTTGGGTATGTATTTGCGCATGCGCCTGCGTAGCTATGCTTGGGTATGTATGTGCGTGGCTATGCTTGGGTTTGTATGTGCGCCTGCGCCTGCGTGGCTGTGCTTGGGTTGTATGTGCGCCTGCGCATACCCTTCCTCCCCCTGCCGTCCCCTCCCCGCCCCCCTCCCTCTGTTTATTGTTATTATCCTTCAGCAGCGGTGCAGAGGGTTTGGCAGTCAGCATGTCCAATATGGGTCCAAGCCACGTGGAGCCACGTCCCCCCTTCCATCCTTCTCCCCCCTCCCAGCCCCCCCAACCCTCAAAGGACCCGGATCCACTTCCACAGATGGACGTGGACAATCAAGAGTGGATGGACGGAATCTGTGAGGTGACTGATGAGGTAGAAGATAATAGGATAAGATAATAAGATAATAGGTGGCAGACGCTTAAATAATTGATATCTACATAGATTAGCTAAGATAGATGATTGATAAAACCAGCAGATAAATGATGAGATCGATGATTGATAGAGAGATGATTGTGATTGATCAGATAAATGATAGATAAGGTAGATAGATCGGATGGATAAGATAAATGTTTGGGGCTCAAGTAGAAGATGAACAGATCAATATGACAGACACATGATAGATTAGATAGATAATAGGTAAATACCTGATAGGTAAGATGATAGTGGAAATATATTGATGGATAGATTCGATGACAAATAAGGAAGATGATAGATAGATGAGATCGGTAGATAAGATAGATGACAGGTGAATTAATGGATAAAACAGACTAGTCTGATAGATCATCTAGATGATATAGATAGGTAGATAGATAGACTGGTGAGTGGATGGAAGGATGGATGGAAGGAAGGAAGATGGGTAGGATGGATGGAAAGAAGGCTGGATGGATGGATAGAAGGATAGATGGATGGATGGATGGATGGATAGATGGATGGATGGATGGAAGGAAGGATGGATGGATGGATGGATAGATGGATGGATGGATGGATGGATAGAAGGATAGATGGATGGATGGATGGAAGGAAGGAAGGATGGATGGATGGATGGATAGATGGATGGATGGATGGAAGGAAGGATGGATGGATGGATGGATAGAAGGATAGATGGATGGATGGATGGAAGGAAGGATGGATGGATGGATGGATGGAAGGAAGGATGGATGGATGGATGGATAGATGGATGGATGGATGGAAGGAAGGATGGATGGATGGATGGATAGATGGATGGATGGATGGAAGGATGGATGGATGGATAGAAGGATAGATGGATGGATGGATGGAAGGAAGGATGAATGGATGGATGGATAGAAGAATAAATGGATGGAAGGAAGGAAGGATGGATGGATGGATGGATGGATGGATGGATGGATGGGAGACAGATGAGACAAAGAGACTGGAATGCTCTGCCATTCTCATGGAGGTGGATGGAGAGGGATTGTGGATTAAGTTGCTCTCACGGGGAGGTTAGATCTGAATTAGAAATCCAAATTCCACATTATACATCTGGATGTAAGTGCACAGGGGTGCTTTGCACATACTCGCAAACGCATTGATGCATGGTATGGCGATGGTGTAAGTCCTCTGCACAGCGAACTTACAGCCCAACAAAGTGGAAGTGGGAAGCTGGAACTTGGGGTGTGGAGCAGCTCCCTCTCGGGGCTGGGGGGAATCCGCAGGTGAAGGGAGAGAGGAAGGTGGGCAAATGCCATTTTAATATTCCACGTACACATGCAGGAATAGTTGGAGCAGCCTCTTCCTGGCATTTCTGGGGCGCTGCCCACCACAGCGGAGCTCTGCTTAAACTGGGGTGGACCATCTGGATCTCCACAACCCCCCAACCTATCTCTGTCTCATCTCTCCCCATCCATCCATCCATCCATCCACCCATCTATCCTTCCATCCATCCATCCCATCCGGCCTTCCTTCCACCCATCCATCCATCCATCATTCCATCCACCCATCCATCCATCCATCTTTCTTTCCTTCCATCTACCCATCCATCTAGCCTTCCTTCCATCCATCCGTCTATCCTTCCTTCCATCCATCCACCTAGCCATTTATCCTTCCTTCCTTCCACCCACCCATCCATCTACCCACCCCTCCTTCCTTCCATTCATCCATCTACCTATCCATCTATCCACCCATCCATCTATCTTTCCTTCTTTCCTTCCATCTACCCATCCATCCTGCTTTCCCTCCATCCATCTATCCATCTATCCGTCCATCCATCCATTCTTCTTTCCTTCCTTCCTTCCTTTCATCCATCTACCCATCCATCCTTCCTCCCTTCTCCTTCCCTCCTCCTCTACCTCCTTCTGTCTCTTCCTTCCTTCATCCTCCTCCTCCTTTTCTTCCTCTTCCTCCTCCCCTTCCCCTTCTTCTTTTCTTAAATTTGTTGAGGAGGAGAGTGGTTTGGGGGTCCTGGGGTTTGCATTCAAGGCCTTGTATCTTAAATCTGTTAAAGTAGATGCTTTCACCCTTGAGCCACGCCCCTGTTGCGTTGGGCCTTGTGTGTTTGCCTGGACAGCCTGAATCTGGACCTGGACCTCTCATGTAGCTGGGATGTATAGACAGGAGCCATAATGCGTGGCTAAGTTGTTGAGATGATGTCCCTCGTACTTTTCACCCAGGCTAACCTCAAAATGAGATCTCCCCGGTTGGTTTCTCCCCCGGGAGTTGCTGGGAGGACAGGCAGGTGCCATGGTGCTCGGTCCCTAAACTCAATCTGAGTTCTTGAATACCCATGCTCTCCTGATTACGGAGAAGGAAGCTAGAGATTTATTTATTCCAATTTGGGTTCAGAAAGAGATGTGAGTGTCTTTTCCAGACCTGGCAGCCCCCTGAGCCTTGTCCTTTCCTTTCTTGTGGAACTCCATGGCTGTCACTCCAGCCAAGCCCTGGACGGAAGGCCCAGCTCCAGAGGCCTGGGCAAGGGATACCTATACACCCAGGAACAAGGCACGCGAGTTCTGTTCAGCATCCACATTTATCCACCCGATCTGTGAAAGCCTCGTTCCTCAGAGAACATTCTAGAGCCCTTGGTTTCTCTTCTTGGATGTAACCATCCGATGTGAGCAAGGGACGATGGGTTTTTCTCTGCCTGCCCCGGCCGCCATCTTCCACCCTGGTTCAGATCAAGGCTGAGTGTCTTGCTCTGGCTCTGAATTACAGCAGGGCCTGGAGGCATCTCACAGGCTGCAAACATCAAAAACAAAAACCAAAATGGAATGAGCGCGAACCACCCCAAAACAGAGCCAGGCAGGCCCTGGAACAGCATGAGGCAGGCCCTGGAACAGAGCCTGTGAAGAGAGGTAAGCAAAGCAAACACTTGGCCCCGACCACAGGGAAGGAAGAAGAAGCCAAGCACAAGACAACCTGCCAAAATATCCCAGGCCTTCACACACACACACACACACACACACACAGGAGCAAGGTGCCGGTGGCTCACGCCTGTCATCCCAGCTACCCAGGAGGCTGAGATCTGAGGATCACGGTTCAAAGTCAGCCCAGGAAGGAAAGTCTAGGAGACTTTTATCTCCAAGGAACCAACAACAACAAACAAAGCTGCAAGAGGCTGGGAAGGTGGCTCAGTGGTAGAGTGCTTGCCTTGCATGCATGAGGCCCTGGGTTCGATTCCTCAGCACCACATAAGCAGAAAAAGCCGGAAGTGGCGCTGTGGCTCAAGTGGTAGAGTGCTCGCCTTGAGCTGAAGAGCTGAGGGACAGCGCCCAGACCCAGAGTTCAGGCACCATGACCAAGCAAAAAAAAAAAAACAAAAAACACTAGAAGTTGAGGTATGGCTCAAGTGATAGAACACCAGAGTGAAAAAGCTAAAGGATAGGGCTCAGGCCCTGAGTTCAAACCCCAGCACTGACACAGAGAGGTGGAGGAGAGAGACAGACAGAGACAGAGAGAGGAGGGGCAGGAGAGACAGAGGGAGAGAGACAGAGACAGAGAAAAAGAGAGAGACAGAGAGAGGGGGAGGGGAGAGAAAGACAGAGAGGGGGAAAGAGACACACAGAGAAAAGACAGAGACAAAGACAGAGAGGCAGAGAAAGGGAGGGAG